TCTCTGAGCTGGCCAAAAGCCACTGCATGTGTGGGAACTACTCACACTCACTCCGTCTCTGTCTTCTAGCCCTATAGTGTTTGCTGCCTCATGGCTTCGGGAGCAACTGGGTCCTCCCTGGGCATGGCCATCACACCCCTCCAGCACTATCGGTCTTCTTAACAGGGGGGTTTGGTGGCTTAGAGTTTTCTTCTCTAGCTACCTGTGTTAACTGTTAAAGTGCAATCTGAACAGACGTCTGCTGCGAGAGGTCCCTCATCCCCCTCTGCAGGAGGCCGTTCTCAGGGTGGGTGCCAGGCCAGTTCTTACACCTCAGAGCTCTGCAGGCAGAAGGAAGATACAACCAGAAGCCAAGAGGCCAGCAGGGATTTATTTTGAATTTTTCACTCTAGAGGATAGCTTTCCATCACCAAGAGGTGCCCCTTCCCTTCTCTCAGCTGTGCCCCGTAGCTCTTGACCAAGCCGTGGAGAACTGGGTAAGCAGCAGGTACTCCTAAAGGGATGGTGTTGAGGAGTTGGGCAGTGTGAACAGACCTTGACGTGCTTGGGCGTAAGTGGAGTAGGACTTTTCTTCCTTACATTTGGGCCTTTGGAGGCATGTGAGGGATGGCAGTGGCAATTTGCGGGGGGGTGTTCACACCAGTGAAATCACATCATTGCAAGTAACAGTTAGCACCAGCCCAGCTGCCTAAGCATATCCCTGTGGAAACATTTGCATAGAATAACTTCCAGGTTAAAACATCTCAAACACCACCAGCCAGAAAACAGCAAAAGGAAATGCTGGCCAAGATCCTCCGATCTGCCCTGAAATTAGATGGAATTGCATTGTTTTACACTTGCTGAGAATCTGCTCATTCGAGTAATGTTTTAAAATGCTTTGGAAGAGGTGGTAAAGCTGCCTTCAGATGTGTTTCCTTCCTCCATCTGGCCAAATATAGACACTTGCAGCATAGGTCTGTCTCCCAGAGTCCTGCTCTTGGCCATTTTCCAACTCCAGACCCTGCCCGTGGCATCTTGCCTGTTATGCTAAACTCACCTCCTCCATGAAGATGTCAGCCAAGGGAGATCCCTCTGTGGCTTGAGGAAGAGGGCAAATGGCACTTGGCAGAGAGAAGAGGGACAACGTTCAGGTGGTGAGGCCAGTCCCAGTGGTGTCAGTCCGTGGCACAGACCACCACCGGTGGAGCAGTGGTTCAGACCTTCATCATTTAATGGAGGATAATCTTGGACTATGCTGGCAGTACATCAGCACTGCCAGTAAACTCACACGCAGCTCCCATCACAGCGTGTTGGGAAGAAACTGAGCGTTCCTTCTGCTTTGGAGATATGTGATCTGCTTTTAGTGTAATGGGCAGAGGAGCAGCAATACAGCTGAGAGCAGAGTATGGCTCAAGCTGCTATCAGCCTTAGGGAATTCCCTCTAAATTACTGGCAAGTCAAAATGTTGCTGACGTATTTAGAGTTTTGTTGGAGGTCATTTTTCAACACGGGCAGTGAACTGCTGCTGCTCAGTGCTTGACCCCAGGAGTGGTAGGACAGGTCATCCCAGCACGGACTGAAACCTGCTGTTGGGCACTGTGGGACAAGGACACCTGCCCCAGGCAAGGTCCCTGCTTGCAGGCATGAGACCTGGGTCCCGCTGATTTCAGAGTGGGCAATTTCACTTGTTGCTCCTCAGGGGTACACAACTTGGGGACGGGGGCAGTGATCTCAATTTGCGGTCGATCGGCCGATGTCTGGCAAGAGCAGTGGAGAGCAGCAAGCCACTTCAGTTCTGGTAAAAACTGAGATTGCTTGAGATAGTGAGATGTGACTATCTGTCATGGACTAGACCACTAGAGCGCAGGTGGCTTTTTCCAATCCCATGTACTCCAGCTCTGAACTAGTAGCTGTATGGATTTCAGTGGAGTTGAACAGAGCTTGTGCAGTGGTGAAGGAGCCCTTTAGGCTCGCTGAGATCTCAGGAGCAGGTTTCCTGGGGAACAAGAGCTTGTCTCTTCCCTCTCTTAACCTCTCCAGTTATCGCTGTCTGATGTGGTTATGGAGAGGGGGGCTGCTCTGACAACAGCCCAGCCAGTGCACAAGCAACCTTGCAACCTTCAGAAACCTCCCAAAAGTCTTCAGTCTCCTCATGTGCACCCGAGATGTGGCTGATCTGTTCAGTTTAGCTTTGAAAACTGTTTCGGCACCAGCTCAGCTTTTGATCAGCACTGGAAAGGTGGGCACAGTTAAACATAACAAGTGGAGTTTGTGTTCACCTGTACCTTTTTCTTTTCCTCCTTTTTTTTTCACTTGCATGTAGTTAAGGAAACAAATTCTGGGTTTACTAAAGAAAGTTCATGCAGGCATTGTAAATCATGAGACTAAAGGGAGGTAGCTGAGGATTTCCAGCCTCAAGATGTCAACTCATAAGCACATGAAGAGTCTTCAGTGCTACTGATAATTATCATGAGCAAATATTTGCCTGTCTTTCCAGAATAAGGTGAGAGATCCAGTGACATTCTTCCTTGTTTTGCTTTAAAGTTATTGTGGTGATTTGTTAGCAGTTTTACATTTTACAGTGTTGACGTGCTCCCCACACTTAGGAGGAGTAGTCTCAGATAAAGGTTTAGATTTCATTTTCTCTTCCTTTCCTTTTAAAAGGATATGAAAACAGCTGTGCACTGTGAATAGATTTTAACTATTAAGCTCAAGCTGCCAAGATGTTATTTCCTGTAGCTTTGACTCATGCAACTAAAGAAATAAGCTGGATCAGAATATTGTTTTGTATAGGGGATTTTGTCCCCCTCTTCCACCCCCAGCCTCAGCTCTGTTTAAAACCAAAACACCAAGGCTCACACTCATGCGAGTGCTCATTTTTTCCTGCTGGCAGGGCACCCCTGAGCTCCTCGCCATATGAACCAACTGGTGCAGCATGAATCTGAGCGCACAGGAGCCTTTCCTGAACTCCCAACAGTTACCCGCTTGCCAAGTGAATGAGTCTGATTTCACTTGGTGTAGGCTGATGCCTCTCATGTCCCCTGAGATTGTCTGGTGAGGGGAAGAGCACTGCTTTCTCTGCAGAATTTATAATCCTGCACTGAGTGTCTGACTTTTAAGTAAACCCAGCTCCATGATTGCAAAGCTTGGAGGTCTAGTAAAATAGTTCAGACAATTCTGGAGTTAAAATCATCAAATACAGTTGTATTAGCAACTAATTTATGACTATATGTTTGGTTGTATTCGTGTCTGCATTTTTCATGTATTTCATTCAGCTGTAATGGCACCTGCTAGCACAGAACACACTGGGTAAATAATTGCTGTTCATATGAGGAACAGAAGGTGATAAGATCAATTTTCTTTTCTCACTTCTTCTATCTCTCAGCATCTCCTTTTACAGTGTTTATACTATAACTAGGCATAGACAATTCAAAGAAGCCTCCGGACATATCACATCTACTGCAGTGTCATTACCGGCAGCTGGAGGCTGTGTGCACAGTTAAACTCTCTCCTGTGCAGAGGTCCTGCAGAACATCGATGCATCATTAATGTCACTCTCACGGAGGGCTATAATTGCTGTCTAGGCCTTTCAGTGGCTTTCTGCCCAAGGGTTCATTTCATCCTTGATGTAGTATAAATGAATATAATATAGTACCTCTTAAAAAAAAAAAGTAAATATGCTGGAAAAGCTTTTGGCAATACACTGGCCTGCTCTCACAGATTTAAAACTGTAGAAAGCACTGACAGCCATCTTATGTTATCACAAGATTGCTCTCAGAGAAGTGACCTTGAATAATAGTACCTTATTCAGGTGTGCTAAGGGCAAAAAAGAGAAAAATTGTGGTCTTAATTTTCTAGAGAAGTTTTAATTAGGCATTGTAATGAGATTGTCAGTCATTACCTGGTTGCAGAGGCTTTGGGAATGCAGTGCTGATGGGATTGCTCTTATGAAGTTATTTACAACTGACATTGGAAAGTGTAAAAGGACCCTTCAACTTCTGTAATCCAGGGAGTGCCATGACTCAGACACCCTGGATGTTCAGATGCTCCTTGGTGGTGCCATCTCCTGCCCTATTCCTGATTTGCAGCGAATCCAGTGAAAGTCCTTTAACTCAGACAATAAAACACAGGTTGTATAGCAATTTAGTTGGAAGAGAAAGCGATGAACTAGCTGGGGAAGGGCTGCTATCTTATAGGAGGGAGGACAAAGGGAATTTCATTTCCAGTGTGTAACAGCCACTGCTGGGTAGGCAGTTACTATCTATCTCTCTGTTCATCTACTCCTTGGACACCCTCTGCGTGCCGCCGCACATTGGGAAGCTGTATTAAATTAGCTTAGCATAAATTTATGTAGGATGTTTGGTTGCTTGGTTTTCCATGGTGTATATTATTATGACAGTTAGAGAAGAAAGGCAAAACTCATCATCAGAAGGGAAAATGAGGAGCTTGCTGCAGAGCTTAAGAGTTGTTTCCACACACTGAGCCTCAGATACAAAAGTTTTATTTCCAAATTCAATCTTTAAGCTGAATTTAGAGAGGACAGAGGGAAGTCATGATAGCAATCTTCAAAACTGGAAACAGTTGCTGCAGAGCGGGAGTAAGATATTCCTCATACCTGTCGGGGACCAGAGAAGAAGTCAAGGGCGTTAAACAGCAGCATAAGAAGCCCGGGTTAGGTATCTGAGTGAGTTGGCCGAAAGCTGGGATAGTTGAGCATGGCAGCAAGTGAAGACTGAGGATATTGTGTTGTAGAGAGTTTTTGAGATAAACATTTCAAGAGGAGGGACTCAGCCTAACTGACCTTGTCTTGAAACAGGAGATGAAGAGGATGACCTTTCCAGGCCCTTTCAGCTATATTACTTCTGCCCCTGCCCTGAAATAGTTTCCTTGTTGAGGAAGGAAGACAGTAAAGAGAGAAAGAGAGAACATGAATATTTATCTGATGGATATCCCTGTTTTTTATACTTTTCTAGGAAAACCCAGTTAAGGAAGAAAGAAGTGCAAGAGACAGAAAAAAAAAGATGTTAGTGCTGTCTAACAACACTGCACTGAATTCACTCCTCTCCAAGCTATTTCAAGACTACCTGGAGCGGACAAATAGCTCTGCATCTTCTCAGGTCCAAAGTGGTGGCGACAGCCTCGAAATCATCTATGTGCTGCTGCTGATCGGCCTCTTTGGCTTCTTCACGGTGGGAGTCATGCTGACCAACATCCGCGCCAGGAAGTTGGAGGACGACCACGACCCCTACAACATGTATATTGCCTCAGACATCTGGCCCAAAAAGGACAGGGCATATTTTCAGGCCAAGCTCATAGAAAATTACAAATTGTGCTGTGTGTTCGAAAACCCACTGACTGTGGAGCAACCAAACACACAGATTCCTGAGGTGAAGTGCTCCTAGCAAAGTGGGAGAAAGGATGAACTTTACAGAGCGACAACTTGAACATCACCTGGTATGAACCAGGCTAGCTTTTTGCCTGGCCTGCCCAAGCAGAGCCACCCACACTGGCCTTGGCCAGCCTGAAAAACTGTGAATTAATAGTGAAGCTGATGGGTTTATGATGGCCTTAGTGTTGCAAAAGTGCCTGATCACAAGCACCTTGTTGCAATCACCCTGAGATCAAGAGGGGGCACACATAGTCATAGGGAGCATCAGGGACTCATCAGCTTCACGCAGTGAAAAATGCAAATGTTAGCATTGCCAGTGTGCAGTAGTCAGAGTAATTAAAACCAAAATGGATCAAGCATAGGCTGGAAATATTAACAGTCAAGGACAATTTAGAAAATGCTATTTTCAAGTAAGATCAGCTTCTTCCAAGAAAAAGTAGCTGAAATATTTTGTTTGTACTTTTTCCCACTATGAAATAATCATTTTATAGAATGTGCAGTGTTGTAAGATGACCTATTTCTTTCTGAATCATTCAACTTCTTGAGATAAAATTTTAGAAAAAGGTTTCCATGTTTCACTGAAAAGAATTTCTATGGAAAAATGCAAACTTTTGAGGGAAATTTTTTAGTGACTGAGCCTAATTCCCAGCAGGTCCCACAGACCAGTCTTACTGAGTGCTTTTATTGCTCCTTCTCAAGGATCAAGTTTTAAACTGGCAGTGATATCCACCCTTGTGTGAAGACTCAGTGGCACACAGGGTCTATGCCATGCAAGTGTGTAATATTTTGAGAGTTTAAATCACATTTAATTGTCATGCTAGCCCTTGGCTGAGAAGTGGATTTCCACACTGGTGAGTTGTCTCATGAAATGTCTGATATTAAATCAGTGATTCAGCTTATGCCTGTGCTTAACTTTACGCCTGTGAACAGTTCCTTCAGCTCCCAAGAGTAGTCTCACTCAGTCTGGGTCTTTATTACAGTATCTGAAGTGAGGTCCATGCCGGTAACGTTTTCCCGTCCTTGGCCTCCTGACAGTCTCCTGTGGACCACCTCTGCTGAGCTGCTGGGGGAAAGGCAGCAGCCGAACTTGGCTTCCGTGGCAAGAAGTATCAGCTGTCTGTGTGAAAACAGAAAAATACAGCTCCCTTGGACATTGCATTACTCAGAATAGCAACCCAGCCAGCTTGAAGCCTGTTTTCTTGTTCGGGATCAAAGCAGCAATCATCTTGGCAGAAGGGGGTTTTCCTTTCTGCCCTGCAGATACACATCCCATTTTTAGCTGCTGGATAGTAAGGTGAAGTGGGAAAAGCCTGGAAGCAAGCCATGCAGAGCAGCTGCTTCAAAGGCAAAGCGAGGGTAGAGCGGGGGCAGATAGCTACCCAAGTGTTTGGAAAGGCAAGGGATACGAGTCACAGCATATTCCCTTTCCATGCCTAGGTACTTCCTTAGCATTGCACTTTCATTAAAGCAATACTCCAGCCATGACTGTGTTCCCAGAATACTTGAACTTAGGACAATTAAAATACAGGGTGATTTTTTCAAAGCCATTTATATGGCACCTACCATTAAGCTGAGGGCAAGGTACGTGTTTTAAGTGTCTTGAACAGCTTGGAAAATCTCCGTTGGTTTAATTATCTGAGTCACTTTTTCCTTTAGAGGAATGTAAACCAAAGCCAGTCTTTGGAAAAATGTTGACTTCCTAGCTTGGGCACTGCTCTTCTGGGTTCTCACTGTGCAGTCTACTTATTACTTGCATTTCTCTCCCTCTCTGGGAGTACAATGATCTTGCTTTCTGGTTCTCCAGAGTCAGGCCCCTGCAGGATTGCTGAGAATGTTTAAATTTGCATTAAAAAAACACCTTTAATTACATTAAAATCTTTAAACATTAAGCTTGTCAAAATGGCTCCCTCCTGCAACTCCCCTTCCACACCAGGTATTTTCAGGTATTTTGGGTCTCGGCACTAGCTGACCACCTTGTTTTAATGGCTCCAATGTAATTATTTGTGACAAAGGTGATTGTCAGCATTAGTCAACACTAGTTAACTTCCTTTTTTTTTTGAGCTCTTCCTTTTTATTTATTTAAAAAAAAAGAAACCCTGTCATAAAGCTTTCCTGTGTAGCCTTTCAATGGCAGTTGGAGTCTCCCACCATGGACTTTGACATTACCTTTTAATCTTGTAGTTCTCCTTTTTCCCATATTTTTTCACTTGTACAAAATCAATAAAATATTAATTACAACCTGTGCTTGTGGCCTCAGATGTTTTTCCTCAGAAACTGTTTCCCAGGCTCACAGAAAGCGTGTTGGTGCTGTCTGATGGGCACTCACTCACCCTCTCCCTTTCTACACCCTATCGACCAGGGTCGAACCTGGGCAGTGCGATATCTCTCAGCACACCTCAATCTGGAGAAATATCAAAATGCCAGGGATGGATTCCTCAGGTAAACTTTTACGGTTTGCAATACCTGGGGCTCAGAGGGGCACACCTGCTCCTGGCGTGTCCTTGTTTGGGCGCACACCCCAGAGGTGACAAAAGAAGAGAAGGTAAAAGAAGGAGAAGGAGCCAGGGGGCAGGAGCACCCCAGCAAGGGATGGAGGTGCTGCACCGCGCGGTGCCCCACTGCTCTGCACAAAGTGCCACTCAGGCAGGGAGCCTGGCTGGAGCTGGGTAGGATGCCCTGCTGTCACAGGTTTTTTAAGGCTAGAAAGGACCATTTTGATCACCTGAGAGGTAGGGATACATACCATCAGATCTTTACAGTTCAGGTCAGCCAGGCTGTTCTGTTTGTGCGCACTCCTGCAAAAAGACTCTGAAATCCCTTTCTGTGTAGCTCTGGATAGTATAATAATAGTTCTGGAGCTATAATGTGTGCACCAAGCCGCTGCCTGCATTGCAAAGCATCCTCCAGGGCCTGTAAACACAATCCCTGCTTCCTCTGTCATTACAACTGACTAATGCAGGATGGCTGACACGAGACCCACCTCGGACTGTGTTTGAGAGGAGAGAGAGCATTGGCTGGCCAAGGAGTGCCTAGAGATGTGTGATGAGTTCTCTTGCTCGTCATGTTTGCCACAGACAAAAGGCCAGCAACAAAAGCTGTCCTGTAATTATCACTAACCAGCGCTCACATTTTCCGATTTCCTGCTTGTTGGGGAGACTGAAGAAGCTTAAAGTCATTAGGCAAATGTGTTGTACTTTCTTTGGTCCACTGTTTAAAAGTTTTTGCTCAGGAGGTATAGACTAGCCAGGGAGACTACCAGGGATTTATTTTTCTCTGTTCCCCAGTAACTGAAGTCTGTGGTCTCACCAGCTGTGCCTTACTCTAGTAGGTAGCCTTGCTGCTGGCTGGTCATAGTGAGTGTACCTCCAGGCACAGGCATCGCTCTGTGGTTGCTTATGCTTTATGGAACAGGAATGGCATTTATAATTTAAGCCCTGCTTTGTTAACAACGGTGTGATAGTAGTGTACAACGGCCTCAGCCAAAATCAAAGTCTTGATATAATAGGCTCTCTGCTGTATATGTTTTGAGAGGTTCTGTTTTGTAGGGCTGCAGACTAACCCTGAAGTTGTGTGGTATGAAACCATACATATAAAAGGTATAAATGCAGCACATGGACAAGACTCTGTGTCATACCTCTTGGAGGGAAAGATCAGTCCTCACACCCAGGGGAAGAAGCTCCAGGGTGTTTCTTAGACAGGTTATTTGGCCTCCATATCATGGGTGGCCGAGGTCTCCCTCTTCTGCCCTTTTCTGCCTGCCCTGGAAACCCATCTGGCGTCCCCAATGCCCTGGCGTCTGGGTGATGCTACGCAGCCCCCTCAAACCCCAAGCATACTTCTTTGGGCAAAGCTTGCAAAGCTGCTGCAGGAAGGTCCCCTGCAATGCCTCTACCAGTGGTCTCCTTCCCCAACCATGTGCAGAGCGGTGCGTAGTATATGGCAGGGCGCAGTCAGCCTGCTGTGGCAGTGTGCAGTATTTACTGGAGCGGGGTTAAGTTTTCTGGAGGCTATGTCGGCATGGGTCCACGCAGACGTTGTGTGGGTGGACCAAGTTCAGCTTTAAGACAGCCAGATGTCAGCTCTGGCCATAAGCAAGCAGAGGTGCAGGGCTGTGGCTGAGGCCTACAGGCTCTGGATCTAAGCAACAGCAAGAAGCGGTTTACATCCAGGCAACGCAGAGCCCAGGGAAGCAAGTCTGGGCATGTAACCTCATGTGCACAACCTTCCCACAGGAAGCCCAGACTGAGAGTGTGTCCTCCACCTTCGCTGCAAAACCTGCCTTCCCCTCCTGCAAGCCTGGATAGCTTCAGGCCCTGGTTCTTATTTTCCAACACACTGAGAACTTGCATTTGCAGCAGCCGGCTTTTGATTATAGCCAGCAGAAATCCCTTCTGCTGCAGGTATAAAAAGATCAAACCTCTGGTATTAAGAATTCCATCTGCAAAATACTTCAGAGACACAAGCAGTCTGAGTGGGCAAGTTTGAAGTGAGTTCTCCCCCCACCCTTTTATTCTTTTGAACTCACTTTATAGTTATCAGCATTATCTTTATTTGCAGTTAGTTAGGTTAGACTTGCTACACAGGGAAACCATGCACAAGGACAAGCAGGAGGAAACCGATAAAAATAGAAGATATGAGCAATCAGAAGTAAGCAGAACATTCTTTACAGTAGATAACTGGAGTAGTAATTATCTTATACAATATTTCTATGGCATCCTGGCTTCATTTTTACACTTTGTTATTGCTGTGCCAAATTCACTCCCTAATCTCCTTATCCAGCTGGAGCCATCAGCTACGCGTGTGAAACCTCCATGAAGCCTTTCTCAAGCAATTGCTCAAGGGACCAGCACAAATGTGATTGCTTGGCAGAGGAGGCTGCAAAAGGTCATTCTGCATTTCACTGGGGACGTGGGCAGCAGGCTGCTTCTTGAGACCAGAACTGTCTGCTGAGCTGGGTTCATGGACAGGTTCGAGTAGAGAAACTATCCTAGTCAACTGCCTTCAAATGACGAG